CACACCAAGGCTGCTAAATAGTTCCCCAGGCAAAACAACTTCAGTCAATGTTCACTGAAACGTGCTTGTAAATACTGTTGAGTATCTCCTGATCTGTGAAGGATGAGGCTTAGCAGGCAAACTGTTCACACAGATTAGAGGGAAACTTGGTATTTTAGCCTTAGAGCAAAAAGCAGTTTAGCAGGTACACAGTGTTCCAGTGGCAGCAGAAAAATTTTAGTGTAAATAGATAGCTGAATTAATATTTATGATAATTGTTAATTAATACTGTAGCTGATACTTTTTTTTTTTTTTTTTAATCCATCCACCACCCCCCCACAGAACATCCACGTGTGCCTTGGTGGCCTGTTTGTACCAGAGGCGTATATTACTGCTACGAGACAATATGTTGCCCAAGCAAACAGTTGGTCCCTTGAAGAACTTTGTCTTGAGGTCAATGTTACAACTACACAGAATGCAGTACTGGATGCGTGCAGTTTTGGAGTCACAGGTAAACTTACCAGAAAGAGGGGGTCCTTGCTCTAAAATATTTTCATAAGCTCCTGGTATTAAATGGGCTATATCAAATTAAAAAGATCACATCATTGCAAAAGTTAATACACATTTTATGAAGTTGTTTAAAGATTAGTTTGACATTAGTAGGGAAGTACTTCTAATGCTCATAAATCTCAAGACTCCGGTCAGTATATATTTAGGCAGTGCTGGGTAATGTATCTGCTACACCCTCTTTATTTTGCAGTATGAAATACTTACCTCTCATTTAATGGACTTAAACAGCCCTTAAGTGAAACACAGGGAGCCAATCTTTGTCTGGATGGACGAGGGCTGGTAAAACTCTGAAGTGTGTTTCGATTTACAGGGCTGAAGCTTCAGGGAGCCACATGCAGTAACAACAAGCTGTCACTTTCGAACGCTATTTCAACTGTACTGCCCATCACCCAGCTTCGCTGGATCAAGCAGACAAATGCTGATAAAAAAGCAAACGTTGTAAGTACTGATAAAAACAATTTTGAAAAGGACTCTTGGGTATACCTAGCAGCCTTTTTTCTGAAGCTTTATGGATACTTTTATTGGACACCACAAATTAAATTGTTAGTTTCTAATATTATCAGTGTCAGTTGGTACCTAAATTCCAGGCTAGCAGCAAACGACCTAGAGTTGACTAGGTCATTCCTTTGTAGTTGGATTAGGAGGAGGAGAGGCATCCAAAAATACTAATGCTGTTCAGACCAAAACTTTTTTTACCTATAAAGAAGGCTGTGCTTTAGATGAATATTTCCTCATATTTTGAGTATTGAGTTATCCGAGACTAAATTCCCATCTCAAATACCCTGTACTATTATAGAAACTTATTTTTTAGCTACCTTATATAACTTTTATTCTGTATTCATGTTTTTCCTCAGGTTACTTTACCGGTTTATCTGAATTTCACTCGTGCTGATCTCATCTTCACGGTTGACTTCGAAATAGCTACCAAGGAAGATCCCCGTAGCTTCTATGAACGTGGTGTTGCAGTTCTCTGCACTGAGTGAAAAAGATTTGTTTTGACTAGTAACGCTCTAGTAGTTGTCAGTCTTCTATGTAGTATTCACCTGTACTTTTGTAACCTGGTTAGATTGTCAGTTGGATTTGTGTTAAGTTGACTAGGAAGAAAGGGGGCAATGCAGTGGAAAGCTGATAGGCTAGATTTCTTTGAAGGAAAATTGGATGAGATTTTTAGATGGTTATTGGTAGATGTGGTGTTTGATGGATCATGTTATATGAAATAAAATCTGTAGCAAGACATTTGACTGTCTTTCTGGAAATACAATTCATACGGTGATTTTTGGTTCTGGGGTTTGGTTTTTTTTTTTTTTGGTCTGAAAAAACTGCAGTTATGATCTTTTCAGAGAATAACAGATAGTAAGTTGGTATTCGAGCATATTGTTGACCTTCACACAGCTGGTTCAGCTAACCTCTGGTAACTGGTAACAAGAACCTTGGAATGTAAGTCTTCAGTGCAGTAAGGCACAAAGCCTGACTTTATCTGCTATGACATCTGATGCCATTGCATTAATTATTTGCAATGAACTGACTCCTCTTGAAGTAACCCGTGTCTACACAGCTGTGTGGATACATTCAGAAGCCAGAGTATTCTAAACAAGACTTTCTTGTCCTACAGACCACTGGGCTTCCTCTTAAGTCGCTTTTATGGTGAAATAAGCCTCCAGTTTCATGTATTAAATTATTAAATGCTAAAACAGGGAGTTACAGTATCATTTCAGAGACTTACTTGTTACCAAATTAGGGGAGCTGAGAGTCCCTGCTAATTGTTTGGGTTGCTGTAACGGTTTGGGTATTCACTTGCTTTCTCTGATCCTAAATGATTCTGTGGGTAAGCGTTTCCACCCTTTTGACCATCCTGTCAGAACAGCTGTTCTCTCTAACCAGATAATATCAGGTGATCAAAGATGCATATGAAGAATATGGTGCATAGCTTTTCAATCTCAAAACAGAAATCACAGGAGCTCCTTCCAGTGCTTTCTGCTATGAAAGCAGTGACTTTCTGAACCTCCATCAACTGTAATATTTTTTCTGTGATAGGTGGTTCTACAGCACTGGCCTGTGCTGGTAGGAAAAACTTACCTTGGCCTGCCTCACCTACTTGTTTCAGCTGATCCCTAGTAGTTGCCAAAATATGTAATTCTTGCTGTTTACCCTGTCTGTATGATTTTGTAGAGTTAATCTCTATAGGTTGAACTGTCCTGGCTGGGTTTATTACCTTACAAAGGATGAATCCCAGACCAGTGCATCGTGTCATCTTTGCTGCTTGTAGTTCTCATATCCAGTTGTGAGGAACAGTGATGACAACTCCATGCCTCATCCAAGATCAGTTTTAACCATAACATAATGTTTTCCTTCTGTTTCAGCTTTCCTTTCGATCACAGGGATATTAGTATCTGGAATTCACACTCCCTCCAGGCTCATTTCAAATACAGTGTACAGTAAGGAGGCAGCCCTCTTCCCCCAGCAGCATGCTCTGGATGCCAGCTGCAGTGTGAAGTATTGGCATAAATATGTTTGAAGTCAAGCTGTCAGCTCCTGGGCTGACCATGTACCTTGCTTTCAGCACCTACTTCTTGTGCACAGCTCAGCACCTGGGCTGTGGTACCAGCTTACAGCCACTATAAAAATCTACAGTTAAACCAGTTCCACTTGTTAGCAAATTCTAATAACAAGATCAAGAAAATCTCAAATATGCTTGAAGTAGCTAGAGCTTCCCAAAGTGTTCAGTTCTTTATGTATTAACTTCTGTATTAAGCTTGAATTAACAAAAGGTACATTTTCAGTTCAGACATCAATCCACAGCTGGGTTCTCATACTGAGTAAGCAGACTTTGAATGTCTGAGTATATGCTGCCCCATGAGAATTACCCTTCAACTTATTTCTTTCCTGCTAGTCCCTGTATTATTTTTTACAAGTGGATTATTTCAGCATGCTGTGTTGAACAACTGATTTAGGTGAAATCCTCACTGGATTAGTTGAGGGTTCTTGGCCAACCATTTGAAGGTCAGTAGTAAATTTTAGTGATGGTCTCACAGCAGGCAGCTAAGACTTAAAAGGACATGACTTCCCTGACACAGGGCTGAAGGGCTTGGCTGCATCATAATGTCACTTTTTTTGAAGCTTTCAATGAGTCTTTAATTCTAGAGAGACCTGTGGCCCTTCTGCAGTACACACAAATCTCTAGCTGCAATGGTTTGGGGTTTTTTTTGCAATTAACTTCACAGTGTTCAACACAGCATTTTTTGCTGCTGGGGCAAGTCAGAGGGCAAGCACTGTAGCTTGTGTCTTAGGACAAAGGCCTCAACTTTATTGTTCCAACCAGTTTGTTTTCCAAGCTGATTAAAAGCCATCTCCATATCTCCAGATGGAGGATAAGAATGAAAACAAAAGTTGCTTTAATAAAATAAATAGGCAGCAATTTGTTACTGGAAGGGTACAAAGCTACAAGTTAAATAGCACTGAGTGGCTTATCTACCTTACAAAAGAAACTGCAAATCAAAACTCTCAGCCAGTCCTACAGAATTAATGCTTTCACAAGTAGGTAGTACCGACATATGTCAAGCCATCGTTACGCTTTCATAGGTAGTAGTTCCCCTTCCACGTAAAGGGACTGCCCCGACTCTAAAGGTGACCAAAAAAATTAACACACAGGAGAGGGAGGATCAGAGAGAGACAGTTTTTGCTATCTGACCTCCCACCTGTGGGCACCACTTCTGCAGCTCCCAAGTGATTGTTCTCAGCAAGGAAGAAGAGCATTTTCGACCAATGTGTTCAATTTCACATTGTAAATTCTAAACTGGCAGGTATACTGAGACTGTACACCTGAAATATTGTTCACAACAGGTAGGAACAGATATGCTAATAGCACAAGTCAACTTCTCCCCATTTGAAGAAACAAAAAAAAAAAAAAGAAAAAAAGCAAGGTAGATTGCCTTTAGTTGTAGTCAGTTCACCTTAATGTAATTCAGTTGTTTGTAGCCAAACCTGTAAGATGATTCACCAGGCAGCTCCTTCCCACCTCTCAGCCGTAGGAAGAGCCAAACACTGACTCGGAGCAGGCGCGAGGTAAGGTATAGCTACTGAAAGCTGCTTGGGACCATGCAGTCGTTCTCCCTTCCCGAACAAACCCTTACAATACTTTTTTGAAATGACCCTGTACCTGGTAGAGGTGCCCCCGGGTACAGGAGTTCAGCTGGTGCCTCAGGGGGTCCCAGGCACCAAGCTGGGGACTGGCCTCTAGCTTTCCCTTGAACTGCCACACAGGCTCGCTTAGTTGATTCCATCGTTACAGGTGGATCCCAAAGCTTACAGTACACAGCACCGCTGCGTTTGTAACAGGCGTGAGCCAGGTTGTTTAAAGCTTGTTCAGTTCAGCCACCATCTACAAAAGAAATCTCCACCAGGTTAATTCTTCAGAACAAGCAGTGTGCCCCGTGATTTATTCATACCTCAGATTAAGTGGCACGGAATTTCTTTCTTAGTTTTTCACTAGCCCCCTCTGGAAGGGGAATCCCTTGCTTTCTTTTACTTAGGGGCTGTTTGGCCACTGTGCCATCACAGTCAGCTGCCCGTAGGGGCTGCGGAGCCCTGTCACCTGGGCTTGCAAGGTCTGCCGAGGCTGAAGGGCTAATGCTCATCAGGGAGGAACGGTCCGGTGTCAGCGACATGGAGGCAAATGCTTCTGTGGCTCTAGGCAGTTCAGGGGATTGCAACAGGCTCCTCCAGAAATCCTGCTCTTGGCTAGGAAGGTCCAGGGGTGCTGTACAGTCATTTACTGTCTGAATTTCACTGACTTGTGTTTCTGAGGAGAGCCAGTCCGGAGGTTTAGGGAAGGACTCTCCATCTTCCGAAGTATCAGCATCCTCCAAAGCTTTTGGGGCACTGTTCACCCATGGTGCAAATTTTATACTATTTAAAGAGTTCAAGCTACAGTCAGAGTGAACAGATGCATCTTCTGAATCACCATCATAAGGATCTAAAAACTAAAATAAAGGTCTCTAAATATGGTGGATCCTTATTTGTCCATAAAAAAAAAATTACAACAGGCAACATACAGTGGGCTGTAAAACCGTTTTCAATAAAAGTCACAGACTTACTATGGAAATTTTTCTGTTTATCCACACATTCCCACCTGTATTTTAAATTTTGGATGCTACACTGAGAGCAAGGCTGCTGCATAACAGCCAGACCTACTTGCAGTCCACAGGAGTCCTTTGCTTTCTTGAGTCCTCCAGCAAGTGGGTCAGGCATGACCTATTCAAGACAAGTTAACATAGGTTTAATAATGCATCTTCCTACAAATTATCAATCAAAGTAAAACCAGAATAGGTAAAAATCCTAGAGAAGAGGAAGCCAGATTGTCCCCTTTCTAAAAGACAGTAAAAAGTATATCTCAGTCTAACATTTAAGGCCTGGTAAATTTAGCCTAAACTAGAGGGATTGAGGAAAGCTATGGTAAGTCTTACTGCACTTAAAACATTGCTAGAAAGAACAGTGAGTAACTGTACACCTCACCACCAGAAAAGTAACCTGTCAGCAATGTTCAGGTAGTTGCCAATATTCCTAAGTGCCACAGGAACAGAGCTGCTCTCCTAATCTCATCCAAGACGGACTCAGAAGGTGGAGGTTCTCTGCCCACAGCTGTAGAAATCCCACTGGACCAGAGCTGCTGAAAGTTAACCACCAGAAGCAACCCAGTTCAGCTTTAAGCACTTCTTATGCTACACTGCCTGCCTGAAACATTGCCACTTTCTTGCCTCATCCCCCCAGAATCAAATTTTGCTAAAATTAGTAACAGTGGTAAGGAAGAACCTAATGGATAGAATATAGTGTTGGGTTTGGGGTTGTTGTTTTTTTTTTTTTTTCCCCCCCCCCCCCCTTTTCTTTTACAGTCACAAACCTGTGTCCAAACTGTGTCTACAGTCACAAAAACTGTTGTCCAAAAAGCAAATTTGTCACCCGGTGTGCAATAAATCAATCATCACACACTCAGGAGGGACACTGCTTATTTATTTTTGGGTTGCACAAGCCTGGGTGCTTGGTGGTTTCCCACAAATCAAGCACACCAAACAAGGCTTTCTGCACTATATTTATACACAAAACTTGCAGAGTTAATAATTTTTCAAGTCCATCCTCTTTACAATGATTAGTTAGTAATTTACATACCGTTACAATACTGCTGACACAATACTTCTACTACTACCCATGCTCAGGGGAAGGGTCTCCTTGATCTGTAGGCACGATTTTTAGTATTATAATGAGGGTAGTTCAGCTAACGGACCTCGAGTTTCCTTGCCAAGTTGGCAACATACCCTTTTCAAGGTCTAATTGCTCCGGGATGTTCTTGCTCGAGAAGGCTGCCTACTTGTTCTTCCGACTAGGGATGCCTTTGGCTTTAACATATACAAAGAACATCTTTCTCGACCTAAGCATAATATCCCTACCTTGTTCTAAAAGTTTAACCTTCAGCACAACCACCCCAGCAGCCACGCTGTACTCTCCCTACTGAGACTGAAGGAAGAGTTGGACACCCCATCAGAGAATCTCACCACCGTCAGAACACGTCGGAGTCGGTTCTTACCTCCACACTGGATTCCGCCTCAGACTCGGTACTTGACTCCACCAGGCATTTCTGCTGCAGAGGAGGAAGGGAAAGAAATGGGACTCAAAGCAGAAGTTACCACAGCTTCAGGTTGAAGCTGAAGTTCTAATACAAATGGTAGATGCTGTGCTTCTCCAAAGCTTTCCCATCTGAAGCCAGCTTGTCCCTCCAAATATCCCACATCTGCAGTGCTGGTTGGGTTATGCAAGTGGAAAACAAAAGGGGAAAATATAAGTCTTCCACCTCCCGCCCCCTCAAAAAAAACCCCAGAAGTACAATGGGAAGCTATCCGGAACATGCCTTGCATTTGCTAGCAACAGTTACACCAGGTCTGTAAATATGTTTATGAAATGTTTTTTTGATTTGCACTGAGGTTTTGTTTTGTTTGCGTTTGGTGGACCTGTATCTCAGAAACGTAACTGCAGATAAATGACTAAAACTACATCCTCACTTTTTCTGAAGCTCTTGCTACAGAGACCTTACAAACAAAATAGCCAAAACATTCCCCAGGTGGTAGCACAGAAGTGGAATGGCTTCCTCCCTCCCTCCCTCCCTCTCTGTTTCTTTGCAGGTGACACTATTTGAATTAATTCATTCACACCTGATCTTTATACACTCTTTTCCAGCACAGCCTGCTGCACTATCAGGCTAACGACAAAGCAACAAACAATTCCTAAACTATATTTTAATAGGGAGATAGAGAAGCAGCAATTAGAAAAAAGTTACCATGTATTTACGTGCCAGTCTTTCTATGTAGTCTGAGCTTTTAACAGAATTCTTCATTTTCTGAGCATCTACTAAAACAGGCAGAGGGTAGGACAGCACGTTAGAGAAAATCTTCTCATAGATAGTTTGCCCAGACCTGGTAACTCCCTGTTATGCAAGAAAGCTTGGACAATCCCTCACAAAGTCTATGTTAAGATCTCAATCAAAGGCAGCTTCTGTTTAAAAACAAACAAGACAACACCACTGTTTTCTACCAAAACAATGACTTGATTCACTGGTCCTTCACACAGCATGAGGACAGAGGGGAAAAAAAAAAAAAAAAAAGTATATATATAATTTTTTTAGAGTGCTGGTACTCTGTAAAGTGGATTTTTTTTTTTCCTCCCAAAGGCACTAGAAGTTTTCTGAACCCTCAGACAGGAATTCGTACTCGAGACATCACACCAGACTAGAGAGGTGCAAACGCAAAGCCACGCTGAGAGTCAGGCCCCACACACACCCCCCCCCCCCCCGCGCTCCCCCCCAGCACAAGAGCCCCACGGGAGGGAGCCCCCCCCTCCGCCCGTGCCCGCCGCGCGCCGCTCAGCCGCGCGCCGCGCCCTCCGCCGCTGCCGCTTCTCCACCGAGGCCATCCCGCCCCTCCCCCCGCCCTCCTCCGGCTTTAGGGGCCCCGGGCGCCCCCGCGCCCCGCCCACAGCCCCGGGCCTCGCTCTGCCGGAGCGGGTGGGAGCGAGCCACGGGGGAAAAAAAAGAGCAAAATCCTCCCGCGAAAGCACTTCGGGCCACTGCCAGAGGCTCCAGCCCGCTCTTCACAGTGCGCTCACCAGAGCCAACTGCGTGGGGCCCTTCCTTCGGTAAAAACACGCACAAAACAGCGCGGCAGTTTGAGTCCTCTGGTCGTGACCTTTCTCCAGGTGTGCGTGTACACACAAAGCACGTGTACACAGACACGCACACATCTACAGTCGAGCTGGCGAGGCCCGGTGGCCAGAGATGCGCTGCTCCCTCTCCGCTCTCGCCGGTTTATTTTCTGTACCCCATTTCATTCACGTCACCTTCAGGCTGACAAAAGATAATCAGCAGGCAAAGGGAACGACACCTCCCCCCTCCGGGGGCAGCCCTTTGTGCCGCAGAGCTTCTCCCCGCTTTTGGACGGCCAGTTGCAGTTGGACACACAAGGCTTCCTGAGCGCCCCTCTTAATCACTTACAATCCGCTGCATGGGAGTCGGAGGACTTTGGTACCATTACTTCCCACCACTTGCTGAGAAAAGGAACGATTTTGCTATTTTACAGCGGTTTTTCAGATTTGGCAGAGAACTACGAAGCAGGTCCCTTTTTCAAAGAAGCAGATCTGATTTGACCCTTTAAAGGCCACATGTCTCTTCCCATTCTCCTCCTATTCATAGGGAAATGAGGAACTAATCCTTTTTACTTTTTCAGATCAAATTCCTCCTCTTCCCATTATTTAATTCCTACTTGGCTTTCTTGCATCTTCCTACACGATACAGAAGGTACTATTGTTTTAGATTAATTTAAAATGAGTACATTAACAAATTCCCTGGGGAGGTGACAGTGAGAGCAGCTGCACTGGGAGCAGCTCACAAACTCCACAAGTCCTTCCACCCCACTTCTACCTCCAGCTGAGCTAGGCCCCATCACACACCTCTTTTCTTCCCAGATACCTTCTTTTTCATCTCCTTACCTCTTCTACCCAAGTCAGGACCATCTGCTGGTTATTCCCTGTCTTTGAACGCTCCAACCACTTGCAGAGCAGCCAAAAATCTCACACAACATCCCCAGCACCCCCCCCCCCCCCACAGAGGTGGGAGCGATGCAGCACCGTGCTAGTGCCTGCAGTGCCAGCTATGTTTAATGAGCACATGTGATCATCATCCTTAATCCAACCACATGGCTTGGAGTAATTTCTCCCACAGAAGCCTGCCCAGAATTAGCTACTGATGCTTTACAGGCAGCAGGTGTTAGCAACAAGACCCCAGTGTCTGGGGCTCAAGACAATTGTTGGTCTGCAAGAGACTACAGATGAAATCGTGACTGTATGGTTGAGACCAGGCAGGATCAGAAGCAGCAGATTTTTCTATTAATTTTGGCAGAGGGCTTGACAGAAGCACGCACCTATCTTACTGTAAGTCATCTTCGGAGGGTAATGCCCATCTCTAAATTTTAACACTTTTTACTTTAACATTTTGCTGAACTTTGGGGGCCTATTTAATGAAAGCCACATTCTTTCTGACATGTGGAGTTCTTACTTGCCTCTATATGTGCGAGGCTTCTGCAGATGATTATTGCTTATTTTAGTTGCTACTTCCAGTGGATTTCATGCCAACTGAACATCCACAGATGCATTAGCATCACTTGAGTTACACTACTGTTTAGACAGGCAGAGTGTCTAAACAGCACAGAAGCTGAATGGGGACTTTGTAAACTGGGTGAGGACTAGGCTTAGTTCTTAGAATAAGCTGCTTCTCTGACTGCTTAACAAGTTTTAGCAAGCCTTTCAAAGTTCCTTTATCTTAGGAACGTACATGGTCCTTTCATCAGAGACCATGCAGTAAGCTTGATACGTATAGACTGAAAAGCTCCAGGTGAAGCATTTGTGCTCAGCCTAGGCTCACGCTGGAACTGCTTTGCCACCAGCAGCCCAAATTTGAAAGCTTCTAATCTTAAAGTTCTCTCGCTTTGACTGGGGTCTATGGGATCCTACAGTATAACAGAACTTCTAGGTGACAGCAGTGTTCAGGGAACAAGATGGTACAGACATGCCCTGTTTCTGTCTGGAGCTATCAATATTCCATGGATTCCAAAATCCACCTCTTCATCCAGGCAAAAGTAGCACAAAGTTATACAGAACAGATCTATTATCTTGTTTTTCAGAAAAAAAGCCTGGAAATCATTTTTGGCCAAATCACGGACAGAAATCATGAGTGTTTATAGAGTTTTTCTTGCTTTCTTATTGCTTGCTGGAAAGCATACCAGAGGGAAAGCGCAGGAGACTAATGGAGAACTGAGTAGGAAGAAAATTCTTAATTCTCATGACTCTATTCAATGAATGTTACAGTCTGTTATCGTCTGCAGCTCTGGATCTAATTTAAGACTGAAATGGTGCACGTGGTCACTGGTGTTACAGTACATGCTAACAGTGCTAACAGTCTAAATCAGCATCTGCAAAGAATGTCTTCACGGAGCTCGCATGGCCCTCCCTTAGGGACTTGCCTTGTGCAACAGCCTGAACAGCTGGCTTAGCTTCCCGGAGCGTTTTTGTAACATCCTGGCCCTGAGTTGCTGAAATGCTGCTTGGCTGCACGGTCAGGGAATGCACCTCGTGGTCCTCGCTCAAGCAGAGGAGAAGGGGCTGGCGAGGTGCAGGCGGTTACGGGGACTGGCCCCGCTGCATCTGAACCTGGTCCCTTTTCACTTCGCACAGCGTTGCTTCAGGAATGCAGCCTGGCATCTTTAGCTGGAGTGCTGGAAATAATAGTTCATCTGTCAGCTGGGAGCTCTTGGGAATGAGAGTGCTGTATACGTATGTATTTGCACAGCTTACAGTAGAAAGATAAAAAATGCTTCTCCTTCTCTCAGGGCACTCTCAAATGCCAAGGTACCTTTTATGACCACATGGACAGAATACCACAGGACCAAGAGGTGTATTTCCTAATTCCTTAATGCTTCATTTTCAGATCTGCTTCAACATACACAAGTTTTGACCAAAACTAGCACCTAAATTTTAGGAAATTACTAAAATCAAGCATATTGTTCCAAATTACCTAAATATAGCAAATGCATTTAAGTTACTAACTCCAGGAGGGATTAGCATGGCAAACTCTCTGGCTCATCCACTGCAGAACCTGAAGAAAATGAGCAATAGTCATCGCGCTGCCTTTCCAGTCTCACACTCAAATGCCTCAGTAACAACCACTGAGAAGTCAACAAAAGTGTCCCAGTCATACAAACATCACCACATCATCCCCTGCATTACTTTTATTAAAAGTATTTCCATATCTAGCTGAACCTGTGCTCCCGTTTCCCTAGAAAAACCCCAGGAAGTGTGAAGGAGGCGGTGGCTCTTCCCGGAAGCCTTGCCTTCCCAACCCCATCCACCAGCACTTCTTTTCAGATCCTAAGCGAGATGCAATCATCGGGACAGTGAGATGGACTTTGTCCTTCTTAATCATCTAAACTTTTCAAGGCCCTTAGTTGTAGCTGCCTGGGTGTGTAGATTCAGCCTGGATCTACCACAGGATTTCATGAAGTAAGCAAGACCCAACCCGATCCATAACAATGACAATTTTGAAGCTTTAATTCTACTACACAGTTTCAACCACTGCACAAAGGAATCTTAGGATAACTTCAGAAATTTCACAGTATATTAATGACAGGACCAAGTATTGTAGGTATTAATAATTATTATTATAATAGCCGTATTACTTATTGCTGCAATAGAGTTCTCCAGAAATCCCCCAGATCTTGAAGGCTTGACTTCCATGGGTGAAGGGCATTCAAGCATTTGGGGCCATTCAGACTCTGCAGTAGTTCTAGATTTCTGAGACCGTTCATATGATTCCTCTGATTTTGGTGGAAAAGCAGTTGTCTCCTCACCAATTATTTCCACTGGTGTTTGAAAATAATTTTCTAGTTCCATAGAAATACCACTATGGGACTCTAACTGGCAGGACTGAGATTGCAGGTATGGAGTTATACAAGTTGTGGATCTCCTAAATGGAAAACAGCTCCCAGAACTACTGCCTCTGGCATGCTCTCCATCAGCAGGTTTAATTCCTTTCTGATGTTTGCCACTAGTGCAATTCATACTGCAGTCTGTGTGAAGTGATCATCCCTCTTCTGAGCAGCCACAATAAGCATCTAAAAACGAAAATACAAATACTCAAAAAGAGCAAGGCGAGTGCTGTGCTGCCAGGTCCATCTCCCACCAAAGGAATCACCGAGATACCCGCGTGGGAGGCTTCCCGCAGACTTTCAGCGCACAAAACTGTCTGGCACAGGGGCCAGCAAAAAGCAAAGCAATCACGCTGGGGAGCGTTTTACCAAGCAGAGCACAACTCCCCGTGGCCTTTTGCAGGAGAGACTGTCACCATTACTTCATAAATCACTCTACGTGTCTTTTTATGAAACTTCTACTTTGTGAGAAGCCTGTTCACAGCTTTTTAGATACTGCTTCGGGAACAACTGATGGAACAGGACTTGAAAGGCTTATTTCCTTGCTACGAAAGAATGCGTGTCTGTCCCCTCCACACCACTGCTGCGGGGGGAACAGAACGCGCCTCATACAATCACACCAGTTTGGACAGAGTTTTAGTCACCAGGTTGGGTTTTTTTAGCCTTAACTTTAAAAAATTACAACATTTTACACAATTTTGTCTGAAATCACTTTTCATCGTCCAGTATGACTTACTCAGAGGTTTCCTAGGTAAGGTTTGCTTTCTTGAAGGTGAGGAACATTCAAACAAGATCACTACACATGATGAAGTATCAGAAACACCACGCAAACAGCTGAAATTCAGGTCACACTTTCTTCAGGGTGCCCTCACTATGAAGCAAATCCTGGTAGCAGAAGATTTTAATTTAAACACAAGCAGAAGACCATCTGAAATTATCTATTTGCCAAAGCTTGTACTGTCAAATTGACAAGATGAGTAAATGAACATTTCATAGTTAGCTGCAAATAAATGCAATGTACCTGAAAACACTCTTCATCAGCAAGGCACATCATTGTACATGAACGCTATAACAGTGTTTACATATGTGGGCTATCAGTAGCAGATCCTACATGCGTTTTTATTTCAAAAACAAATCCAGTTCCCCCTCAATCACCACAGTATAGAATTTACTCATGTATTTTTTCTGCTCCTTTCCTTGTTATATTTGGAAATCCGAGTTCAAGTAATTGTTAAAATTTCTAGGACAACGAAAGCCATTTTTTGTCTCTGCTGCCATCCAAAATTTAGACTTTACAGCATGCAATGTTAGGAGCCTTTCACTAGAGCAACAGGGGCAGCAGCACTTCTGAGGTTCAAATACTCAACACAGACAGACTAGCTTCCTTCCAGAGAGAGCAGCAGAATCAAGTACTTCTGCCTTAAGCCTGGTGTGACTTCAAAAAGACTATTATCAGTAGGGAAATGTTCTGATGAACTTTAATGAAACCAAACATCAGCAGTATAAGCACTAAACTAGGAGACAAGGAGAGAGTGTAACACCAAGCTGCACCA